ACTGTCCAACGCATTATTAAAAACTGGAAGGATAGTGGGGACCCATCGTCTTCGAGGAAGAAATGTGGCCGGAAAAAAATCCTCAATGATCGTGATCGGCGATCACTTAAATGTTTGGTGAGATCAAATCGAAGAAAAACAACAGTAGAACTCAGGGCTATGTTTAATAGTGAAAGTAAGAGCATTTCCACACGCACAATGCGAAGGGAACTCAAGGGATTGGGACTGAACAGCTGTGTAGCCTTAAGAAAACCACTAATCAGTGAGGCTAACCGGAAAAAAAGGCTTCAATTTGCTAGGGAGCATAAAGATTGGACTCTGGAGCAATGGAAGAAGGTCATGTGGTCTGATGAGTCCAGATTTACCCTGTTCCAGAGTGATGGGCGCATCAGGGTAAGAAGAGAGGCAGATGAAGTGATGCACCCATCATGCCTAGTGCCTACTGTACAAGCCTGCGGGGGCAGTGTTATGATCTGGGGTTGCTGCAGTTGGTCAGGTCTAGGTTCAGCAACAGTATGTGCTCAAAGAATGAGGTCAGCTGACTACCTGAATATACTGAATGACCAGGTTATTCCATCAATGGATTTTTTCTTCCCTGATGGCACAGGCATATTCCAAGATGACAATGCCAGGATTCATCGGGCTCAAATTGTGAAAGACTGGTTCAGGGAGCATGAGACATCATTTTCACACATGGATTGGCCACCACAGAGTCCAGACCTTAACCCCATTGAGAATCTTTGGGATGTGCTGGAGAAGGCTTTGCGCAGCGGTCAGACTCTACCATCATCAATGCAAGATCTTGGTGAAAAATTAATGCAACACTGGATGGAAATAAATCTTGTGACATTGCAGAAGCTTATCGAAACAATGCCACAGCGAATGCGTGCCGTAATCAAAGCTAAAGGCGGTCCAACTAAATATTAGAGTGTATGACCTTTTTTTTTGGTGGTGACTTTTTTTTTGGCCAGGCAGTGTATTACACGATTTTCACCGCGATTTTGACGTCACAGAGGATCTTGAGAGCCACCTTGGGTCGGAGGTGAGCCAGCAGATAGTCTGCCACAACGAGTCCTCATGTGTGAGCAAGCCTACGAGTAAGTCGCCCCCTCGTCTGTGACTGAGACTGGATATCTGGCATGCTAGAAAACTGGAAAAGGCTGACATGACCGACAAAGAGCATCAGCCAATGAGAGGCGGGATACGTCCCACGTCAGCACGCAGGAGGACGGAAGAAATGTGAGGAGGACAAGCCGTAGTGTTGTCACTTGCCAGGTCCCCTTATTAGCCACGACTTTGGGCTTGTTTCTAAAGTGGAGTTGCTTACTGCTCTCCATACGTCACCTTTCTCTATATACAGTACAGGCCAAAAGTTTGGACACACCTTCTCATTCAATGCGTTTTCTTTATTTTCATGACTATTTACATTGTAGATTCTCACTGAAGGCATCAAAACTATGAATGAACACGTGTGGAGTTATGTACTTAACAAAAAAAGGTGAAATAACTGAAAGCATGTTTTATATTCTAGTTTCTTCTTCTGATTACTGCTTTGCACACTCTTGGCATTCTCTCCATGAGCTTCAAGAGGTAGTCACCTGAAATGGTTTTCCAACAGTCTTGAAGGAGTTCCCAGAGGTGTTTAGCACTTGTTGGCCCCTTTGCCTTCACTCTGCGGTCCAGCTCACCCCAAACCATCTCGATTGGGTTCAGGTCCGGTGACTGTGGAGGCCAGGTCATCTGCCGCAGCACTCCATCACTCTCCTTCTTGGTCAAATAGCCCTTACACAGCCTGGAGGTGTGTTTGGGGTCATTGTCCTGTTGAAAAATAAATGATCATCCAACTAAACGCAAACCGGATGGGATGGCATGTCACTGCAGGATGCTGTGGTAGCCATGCTGGTTCAGTGTGCCTTCAATTTTGAATAAATCCCCAACAGTGTCACCAGCAAAACACCCCCACACCATCACACCTCCTCCTCCATGCTTCACAGTGGGAACCAGGCATGTGGAATCCATCCGTTCACCTTTTCTGCGTCTCACAAAGACACGGCGGTTGGAACCACAGATCTCAAATTTGGACTCATCAGACCAAAGCACAGATTTCCACTGGTCTAATGTCCATTCCTTGTGTTTCTTGGCCCAAACAAATCTCTTCTGCTTGTTGCCTCTCCTTAGCAGTGGTTTCCTAGCAGCTATTTGACCATGAAGGCCTGATTCGCGCAGTCTCCTCTTAACAGTTGTTCTAGAGATGGGTCTGCTGCTAGAACTCTGTGTGGCATTCATCTGGTCTCTGATCTGAGCTGCTGTTAACTTGCCATTTCTGAGGCTGGTGACTCGGATGAACTTATCCTCAGAAGCAGAGGTGACTCTTGGTCTTCCTTTCCTGGGTCGGTCCTCATGTGTGCCAGTTTCGTTGTAGCGCTTGATGGTTTTTGCGACTCCACTTGGGGACACATTTAAAGTTTTTGCAATTTTCCGGACTGACTGACCTTCATTTCTTAAAGTAATGATGGCCACTCGTTTTTCTTTAGTTAGCTGATTGGTTCTTGCCATAATATGAATTTTAACAGTTGTCCAATAGGGCTGTCGGCTGTGTATTAACCTGACTTCTGCACAACACAACTGATGGTCCCAACCCCATTGATAAAGCAAGAAATTCCACTAATTAACCCTGATAAGGCACACCTGTGAAGTGGAAACCATTTCAGGTGACTACCTCTTGAAGCTCATGGAGAGAATGCCAAGAGTGTGCAAAGCAGTAATCAGAGCAAAGGGTGGCTATTTTGAAGAAACTAGAATATAAAACATGTTTTCAGTTATTTCACCTTTATTTGTTAAGTACATAACTCCACATGTGTTCATTCATAGTTTTGATGCCTTCAGTGAGAATCTACAATGTAAATAGTCATGAAAATAAAGAAAACGCATTGAATGAGAAGGTGTGTCCAAACTTTTGGCCTGTACTGTATACTCATCTAATGAGTTTTTTAAATGCATTATGGTGTGTTGGACTACAGTGGCTTGTTTCTCTCCCAAGATCTGGCAACCCTGACAAGCCGGCCAGCAAGCAACAACAACAATTGCAGCCTCCACAGGATCACGGGGAGTGCGTTGTGTTTGGACCCTGGATTATAAAGAATATCCATGCCTTTATGATGTGTCGTCTCCAAGTTTGGTGACGTCACCGCATTATCTGGGGCTCTGTCCGTGAGGGCTTGGTAGAGAAATCTTGTGGTGTGCAAACACAGGTTGTAACGCAGTTGGCGAGACTCCCGCTGACAGAAAAACACATCGCCGGGTATGAACGCTCAAAAGATTACGATAGCCTCCGCAATGCAAAATCAGGGTGAAAATCGTGTAATGTGAACTAGCCTTTAGTGGCACGGCCGGCAGAAGTCTCTAGCGCACATGCTCTATGGGCCCCGATGATGTGAAACATCCGGGTAATTTAATTTTGTGGAAATTGAGGTTTTATGGCTTCAAGCGCCACTGAGCAACTTTCGTAGGAATGAATGGGGCCCTGCCCAACACTGTATCCAGTTCACCTTATACATCCATGATGTCAATCCCCATAGACCCCCATGTTAAATGCCCGCCTTACAACATGTTTGGTCCCATAGCTAATTTCAACATTCAAGACAACTGTACGAGGGGTTGATTTTTATATAACTCATCCATTTGATTTTTATAAGGTTAAGGAGCCATGTATGTTGTAAAATGTGTGTAGGTTGTTAATTTGTCCTGTAGAGGTCACTGTGTTGTCATGGGTGTCCGCCAATATAGGCAGGAACTATCGATTGACAGACAGGTCTAGACGGGAGCACACATAGTTTTTTGACCCCAAAGCTAGGCCATGTCAAGTGAGGTGTATGGTGCTCTCTGTATTGGTGAACATTTATGTATTTGAACGGTATATTGACACAGCTTTATGCATGATGCCAGTTTTATTCAAGATTTGTCCATGCAGCCCCTAAGTGGCTTTTAGTAGAGGCTTAGCCGCTATATAAGGCTTAAAGTTATACATTATTAATTGTGTGGCCACTTTGAGTGGCAGGATGGTAATTTCCAGCTCCCAAACAAATAAATAAAAAACAAGTTTCTAAACTCAAGGCTTCAAAACAGGAGTCCACAAAGGAATGGGTGACGTCACAGTGGCTACTATTTTTATTATTTTATATCTATATATATCTATTATTTTTATACAGTATATGTATGTAGTGCAGGACAGGGTACCTCTTACTTAATAAAACATTCAAGACCACAAAACATCTTCTCCTTTCTATTGTTGCCACCATAGACATGGTTGCCACCCCCTCCTTGATCTCTCTCCCCACTCTCTCTCTCTCTCTCTCTCTCTCTCTCTCACAGAACTCCGCCCCTTCCAGTAACCCTCAATCATTTCAACAAACTTGGCACTCTTGCATGCACGCACACTCACACACACACACACACACACACACACTAGTTCTGTCATGTCCTCCATCAATTATTTACAGGTGATGGAAAATATATGGAACACTGATTTCATCATACCAGAGCTCATTTCAGAGGCCAAAATAACAATGTATGTTTTCACCTCTGACAAGGTAAATACTTGCAACACAAGAGTTCACTTTTTTTTCAATCATCTGGTCTGCAGCTCTGATACAAAAGCTGAGTATAGGGTGCTTTTTTATATTTCAAAACAATCTCATCAATCTATTGTCATTACCACCAGACATAAAGTACTTTAATCACCACTACTGAAAATATAAGACATCTTCTCTGCATTATTTCATTAGCAGTGGGTTTCTTTACCCCTTTAATTCTTACTTGAGTGGGATTCTTTTTTTGTTAGCTTAAATGGATTTTGAAATATGCACCATACAGCTGCAGCGCAGACTCTACATTGGCACATATTCAGAACTAAATGACTTTGATTTCAGTCGGGGAACATTTTGTTCTCTGTGTCCATGCACCCGTCCATGCGCATATAAATACAAGAGAATCAAACTCACTGAGATGGAGTAGATCAGGGCAGCAACTCCAACTGGCAGGCAGCAACACAGCATGGTGAAGATGGAGTAGCACAAGTAGTCGTTGACAGGGTTGGTCAATGGGCCTTGAGTCACGAACACTGTGGGCTGGACAGTAACAGCGTTCGGCTGTCCTGGATGCTGTCCATAGGGTGCACCTCCATACTGCGGTGGGGGTACATAGCCCTGCAGGCCACACAAAGGAAACACAAATTCATTTTCAGGTACAATGAATAAACGTTTTAGAGGCGTGTTAGAGTAGATTTGATGGGGTGGCTTCACACAAAACGAAACTGCAACTCTGCCACAGGGCTCAATGTTGAAATACTCACATGATGATATGAGACATAAACAGGTTTGAACTGTAAATCAGTAAGAAAGAAAGAAAACAAAGATTTTATCTGTTAATTCAACCTGCACGGATTAGATCCGCCATATGGCCTATAAAAGCACACTCTGTTATAATAATTCCCTGAGTTTCATTTATCATGTTACAGTCGAAGTTCATGTGTAATTACTGATTTTAATAGCGTAATCAGTTTAAGCACAGCAAGCCCTTACCTGCCAAGAGGAAAGGTGAATAATTAAGGAATCTTTATAAAACCCTTAAAGACTAACATATAAAGTTCATAACGCAACATGTGAGGGGAGAAAAGGAAATAGAGTTGTTCAAAGTGCGAGCAACTAAGGACTGTTATGCAACAGTTTTATTAATACATTAATTGGATGCGGGTTTTTCTGTTATTTATTATCAGTATAAATAAAAACTCTTTAATTAGCATTAAATAGGTTGTAATTAGCTTGTTAGCAGCACATACGTGGGGCAAAAAACTACAAAGAGCTGAGAAGCATCCCGTTAACTCGCGTGAAATTACTCCACTTGTTTCAATAACGAGACCCGGAGTAGGGCTACTTACCTGCTGCTGTGGCGGGTATCCCGGGTATCCCGGGCCGGGCTGAGGATATCCCGGGTACGGCTGGTCATTATAGGGCGGAGGGGGCGCGTGGGCCATGGAGGACTTCTCATCAGCCCATCCCGCTGGAGGAGCGCTGGCAGACTTACTGGGGTCCATAATGCAGCAGTTTGGTCTGTGGGCTTTCAGAGTAAATGAATCTGCTTTTTCCAGCCGGGCTCGAGTATTTTCCTGAAGAATTTAACGGTCAAAGTCCACAACCGCAGAGCTCGCTTTTCCACACCCCTGCTGCTACAAGGTGAATTGACCAAGTGAAGAAGTTTGATCAAATTTTCTCATTAGTGTCAAGTCACACAAAATGAACGAGGCAATTCCGGTTGTGATTTTCAAATTAAAAGCACCAACGAACCTGAACTGAGCTTTGAGTATACACACATTTTTTTTTAACTTAAATACTAGTGTTATACATTGAAATATAGCACAATGCACGTATATTTATATTACTCAGCACATTATACATATTTAATATATGTAAATATTTTATGTACTAGTGTTGTAGCATATTACACATTTTTTTAAATAAATTTTTACATACGTTGTACTTTATACCTCCATTTCTACTTTTATAATTCTCTATACGCTTTAAGTCAGAGTGAACGTAATCACACTTTCACCCCGGCGAACAGTTCATTGTTTCTGATTGTGATTCTGTAACGGAAAGCCACAGTATGTCGTAATATGAAATGACATGATGTAAGATAAAATAACCTTTCTGGTGCGGGATATAACGACGCAAAAAAATAAAATAAAATAAAATAAAATGAAATAAAACAGAATAAAAATAAATAAATAAAATGACTAGAACACAAACACGTACATTCATGTGTAGAGGGATTATTCAGTAACAGAGCCAAAATGTAATTGCCACAATGACAAAGAGAGGACTTAAGATACAAAATAATTTGTAGGTGTACTTATTTTGATTTAAAACTGTCAGGAAGTGGACACAAACACTGACAGTCACTCTAGGTTTACTTGGGATGGAGAGTTGGTGTAGTGACATAGCTTTTACAGGGCTCTGGACAATGTTTGGCGAACATTGCTGTCTTCCACACTATGTTTATATGTGTATATCCCCGCTATTCCAAGAAACCTTCCATACACGGACATGGAGTGTGTCACATGAATTGTTGCAAGGATAAACTTGAGATCAACTATCTAGTTTCCAAGGAGGACATAAAATAAACATAAACAAAAGCTCTTCATTCCAACACAGACTACTAAACCAAAAACACACCTCCAACTATGAAACAGACATGAATAATAAACTCTAAGGAAAGAAACTTGTAATCTGTGAGATAATAAATTCAAAGTAGCTTCGACACGTTTCACACACTATTATTCCGAAATATTTTAGGCTTTTATTTCTTATGCGACTCGATCTAATATCCGGTCCTATTCTGGCTACCAATGGACGATTTATGGTGCAGTCACCCTCATTACTGTCAGCCAATAAGTGAAGAGGGAGGGGCCAATGGAGGCGAGGCTGGGCCTCTCACAACATTCAGGCAAACTGGAAAACAGCAAATACCTACCCTCCTTAGGCCAGGTCTGGTATATGTGGGTTACAATCAGCCTAAGTATGCTTCACATCATGTTCATACTCGTCAAACCATTCAGTGAGCCCATATACCTTATGGTTGGAGCATTGTCAGAAGAGACCACTCCCATCAGGTCATAAATGTTCATAATATAAAGGTTATCTATCATTTAGAACATTGATTTGCAGTGACCCTTTCCTATAAGGGTACAAGTGTACACAAACGCAAGATATCTTTCAATGTCATTTCAATCTTTCCTCTTGCCATCTTGATACAAAACCAGAATCAACTGGGCCTGCTCAGTTTGTTTATAAAGGTCAAAGAGCATGATTTATTGTTTGACTGTAGCATGCAGTGCACCTGTGTGGAAGCATCTGTATTTGTCATAGAATTAAAGATGCAGATGGTTGAACAGCTCAATGAATGGTTTGATGATTATGAAAATCGGCATAGAAAATAGATAAGTATACCAGTGTCCACTAGAGGGAGCCAGAGTCTGTCTAAGACACAGAAGGGCAGGCAGGCACTGGGACATGTAACAGGTAACAGGTCTAACTGAAAGGCAATAATTACACCTGTGTTTTTCTTGTTATGACAAGTCAGCTTTATGTACCTGTCGTTTTTATGCCATGGCTACATTTTTAGTTTGATTCATTGTTTTACTCTGCTATGCTTAAACATTAAACAGATTGTTCTTATTACATTGATACAAAGAAACATAATTGGAATTTTTATATTCATGGTTGAAAAGAAATAAAAGTCCTGTTAAAGGGACAGTTCACCTCAAAATTAAAAATCCATATTTTTCCTCTGGCCTGTAGTGCTTTTAATCAATCTAGACTGCTGAGTGTTGGAGTTATTGGCAGTAGAAATGTCTGCCTTCTCTCAAATATCATGGAACAAGATGGCTTTTAGCTTGTGGTGCTCCAACCGCCAAAAAAATACATTTGAAAAACTCAACAGCAATGTCTCTTTCCAGAAATCATCACCCGGTTCCTCAAGATAATCCACTGACCTCGTTGTGAGCAAATTCATGTGGCAACTATTTTCTCTCTGTCAAACTACACCTGCTAACTGTATCACCTTGAGATAGCTAACATTACAGCTCAGCCGAGAAGGATGCCATTAATGTTTACATCTCGTGCTCTCATGCACACCAGCCTCTCATCCATGAGTAGATGCATGTTTCCCTCTGTGGGCTGATAGGGTTATTGGGTGTAGTTCGATATGAACAAAATAGTTCCTACATAAAACTGCTCACAACAAGGTCTGTGGATTATCTTGAGTAACTGGGTCATGATTTCTGGTAAGAGACATTACTGCTGCGTATTTCAAATGTATTAATTTGGCGCTGTGAGCACTGCAAGCCGAGTGCCATCTGGTTCCATTATACTGGAGAGGAGCCAGACATCTCTACGGCAGATATCTCGCACCAAAACAATGTGAACTAATAAACAGCACTACAGAGGAAGGAAACAAACATATTTTTGATTTTGGGGTGAACTGTCCCTTTAAGACCCTTAGTATCTATGGTGGTACTTGTAAGTTGCATGCCCACTTCCCTGTCGACAGGGGATTCATTTGTTTATAATTCCTCCATCCTTATGTTTACCCATTATTATTTCAACAACAGTGCAATTCAGTTGAAGACCTGAGTTAAAGCTAACTATGGTGAAATACGTCAATGCTGATAACCTTGGTGTAGTGGGCTGAATTTAAAAATGAATAGCTCAGTTACATTGCAATAACTAAATATCGTCCAGAACCACTCAGGGTACAACTTTTAAATCAATGGCACTTCACATTTAACAAACTAGTATTGTCTTTGTCACATATATTTTAAATATGTGCAGTGAAATGTTGAGGTGGAATACTCAGGAGGATCTGCTGAAAGGCTATATCTGTAAGTCCAATAAGAGTAAAAAAATGAGGGCTATAAGAAAGGATAATCTATTCTCTTGGTGTTAAACGAATCTTGGGTTTTCAGGTCACCTTCTCTCTCTCAAATACCCCCCCCCCCCTCTTTATTGTGAGGACCCTTGTTGACATAATGCATTCCTTGGCCTCTCACTCTGACCTTAACCATCACAACTGAATGCCTTACCCCAACCACAATCGAAACCCTTTTCTAACTTGACCCTTACAACCATGTGTGAACCCTCCAATAAGCCTTTGAAGGTCTGTCCTGAGGTCAGGACGGCCCAAAATGTCCTCATTTTCCAAGAATGTCCTCACTCTCAAGGTTGAAAGCTCAAATTGGTTCTCACAAAGACTGACGCACAAGTCCACACACTCAAATAAAATTCAACACTTCATTGTTGTTTGTTACAACAGTTCTTTTATAGAAACATGACAGAGTGTTTCTGTATCTCTGAACAGTGCAATCCACTACTTTCCTCCATAAAGCTAAACATGGGAATTAACAGATTATCAAGAATTATCAACAGCACTCTAAACACTCATGACTACGTGGATTTCATATATGTGACATGAAAGCATGGACAGTGGGTTAGGCTGGCCACAGTAAGCGACTAATATCTACATCAATGTTGACCTTACACATACAATACAGGCAACAGAAGTAGTGCGAGACATTGACACAACCTACAGTATGTGGACACTTAAGGAACTTTTTGGTAATAGGTTTGTGTTACTGTTGTATGAGGTCACTTTCAGCTCAATCAACCGAAACTGTTGATGATGAACATCAAAGCATTCACACTGAGTAAATAGAGGGGATTACCAAAGGTTTTATATGTCAGTTTCTTCATTTCAAATCCTTTTTAACTTCTAAATATGAAAAACAGCTGATTGAAATGAAAGTGACAACTTGTACGTGTGTGTATGTGTGAAGGTGCAGGCTGCAGATCAGTAGCTCAGTTATCAGGCAGAAAGCATCACACCTCACAGCCAGTACACACACACACTACTTTCTGTTGCTGTCTAATAATAAAACAAAAGCCTCTCGTTGGATGTATCAAATCCCGCTGCTGCTCCTCCGTGTTATCTGTTGGTTGCAGGTTTGGGACATCAGTGTGTGTTCTGGAAGATATTTAGCAGTCGCAGGCACGACCTACAGATGAACAGACAACATGTGATCAGTAATATAAAACACACAAACAATATTTTTCTCCAAAATTGAAGTTAAAGAACAGCTCATCTAATTTTTTGATGTGAATCAAACGGTGACTTTACTATTTTAAGCTTTTACTTAGAGCCAAATTAAGTATTTCTTTTTTCTATATAGCCCAATATCACAAACTTTAATTTTGTATTCATACTTGGCTACTATATTTTCATATTTGTTTTTGGCAAGTGGCTTTGACAACTATTAAAAGATTAGCAGCTGAAATTCTTCACAAGCGGTGAGGCTAAAATTTAAGTTGTTGTTATTTATGATAGCATTCTCTGTATGTGAAGATTGAGATGAAGAATCAACACACTGCTCCTCATCCTCAGGTAATGAGCAGAGGAAAGAGAGAGACAGAGAGCGTGTGTGTGAGCCCATGCAAGTGGAAACTGCCTGTCCGTGCAGTATGTCCCTGTGGGCCCCTGCTGAGTTGCTTACATACTGCGTGCACACACACACACACACACACACACACACACACACACACACACACTGTTTTTCCATATGGGCCACCTGTGTATTTTCTACATCAATTAAACTAGTGCTTGGTTTATCAGTCGCATCTGATATCATCAGCATCATCGGGGTTCAACTGGCTTGA